TTGGCCCTTTGGGTGCTGCTCCATTCGGCTGCCTTTTGGCCTTCTGCCTCCCCTTTGCTATTTGGATACCATGGGCGGCTGTTTGGCTACCTCTCCTATCCTATATATTGGCTGTGTCCTGTTGGCCCTTTGGGTGCTGCTCCATTCGGCTGCCTTTTGGCCTTCTGCCTCCCCTTTGCTATTTGGATACCATGGGCGGCTGTTTGGCTACCTCTCCTATCCTATATATATAGTGGCTGATTTGAGGCTTTGAAAAATATGTTTTGTGAGATAATATTTGGAATGTAAAAACCTGAGGGTTTTTAGATAGCTTGCGAGCTATGTCCCCCTTTCTTTTCTCCTATCTTTGACTTCATCTCGAGCTTCTTACCTACTTCTTCTCTTCGCAAGTGTCCACCCCATTTGTATCTTTCTTCTCAATCAAGAAAAAGTTTTTTTAGGTATTTTTATGTTCTAAAATTATGAGTTGTAAGCTTTTTATTATTAGGGGTTGTGTCTTATTTTTTATTTTATGTTTCTCATTTGAGCCGTATGTGTTGACCTTCTAATATAAAAGTTGTGTTGTGTCATTATAAAGGTGTTTTAACCTTTTTATTTCAAGTTGTAAGATATTTTGTAAATTTTGAAAGGAAGACGCTTGTTTGTTTGCAATCCTAGATTTTTCCAAATTTTTGATAGCATCAAGTTCGGTATCAAAGCTTAGGTTTTTTGTCGAGTCTTCCTTTTTTTTGTTGAGTCTTCATTTATTTGGTATCTTGTTCTTTTGTAATGGACCAAAATCTAGAAGCCATTGAGTCAGTTATGAGTGAAAATCAGCCAGGTAATCTTGAAGTCCAAATTCCAACCAACAGCTGGGTTCCTTCCCAAGGTAGTTCTACCGATCCGATTCAAAATGAGTTATAACAAACTTCAAATGAAGATGCACTTATATACGGAAAGGTATGAAAAGAAAAAGCAATTTCTCTATGCCAAATTCAAGCAAGAAAGAGAGATGATCAAACAACAATACGCAATTTTAATTATTGAATTGGATAAATCTCGTTTGGCGCGTAATGAGAACTCAGAATCTATCTTATCAGGAGATGAGCTCTTTCAACCAGAGGAGAATCTGATGTATACAAGGGGGGGAGGG